CAAGGCCACAGTGAGGGCCGTTCTGCTCTATGGTAGTGAAACTTGGCCCCTTCGGTCTGAAGATCTGAGGCGCCTTCAAGTCCTTGATCATCGTTGTTTGCGAAGCATTGCTGGTGTCGGATGGCACCAGCGTGTCCGCAACGATGATGTGCGTATGCGAGTACTAGGGGGTGATGATCATGCTAGCTCCCTAGAACAACAGATAGCACTGAATAAGTTACGTTGGCTCGGGCACGTGCTACGTATGCCTGGTCACCGCTTACCTAGGAGAACCTTGTTCAGTCTACCAGGTGTAGGATGGCGCAAGGCTCAAGGTGGACAGAAGTTGACTTGGCAGCGGGAAATGAAGTCACTGACGACCAAACTGGGTGCCGTTGGTCCGTCTCGCCTTCCGGGTTGGAGTCCACGTGACTCACCTTGTGCTTGGCTCGAGACTTTACAGGACATGGCTCGCAACCGACACCAGTGGCGCGTCTGCTGCCGTCTCCTAATCGGATTGTCTGTTTAAAGTGTGTTTGGTGCTGAGTTATCTGCGGGGTAATGGCTGATTATGACGCGTGGCAGTGAAAGCCGCAAGGAAGCTGTCTCGCCGATGCCGCCTTATCTTTGCACGATAGCCAGCTGTTTGTGACGGTATGTTGTTAACACAAGGTGTAGGCGCCTTGACCCAGAATGTTTGCTTAGGGCATTAAGGTTTTCAGGTAAGTCCCCCTTCTCTCGATTTTCTTATTCTTTATTTCATAGGTCCTCATGGTTGTATGGCAGCGAAGTATCAGTTCAAATGGCTGATGTACTGCTGTTGATGATGGTGATGATGTGCGTCACCTGTTCGGAATCGCGTGGGAGAGATGAGATGGTTGGACAGAGGTACATCAGCCATCACCTCTTGCAACTCCGCCTTGAATTGTTCGCAGTGTGATGCTGGGACCTCCATTGCGTCCAAGTTGAAATCCTCCAGCAGAAGGACGTGACTGAATGGTCGTACCAGGACTCGTTTCATCCCAGAGGCTAGGCATTGATTCATGTCCAAGGTGGACACTGGTGGGCGGCAAACTATTCCTAGTAAACACGCATCACCACGTCTTAGGTGCATACGACACCAAAGAGCGTCGACGACTTGCGTTTCTAGGTCATCACTGACGTCAACATGCTGGCCGGATCGATAATACAAGAGCACTCCCCCTCCTCTGCTAGATCGATCGCTTCGTATGGAAGTCATGCCGAATAGTGCAATCTCAGCATCCGTCATCTCCGAGTTCAGCCATGTTTCGGTGACAATAGCTAGGTCCCAAAGCCTGGAGACCTGACGCAGACGAAGTTCGGTTAGCTTGCTGCAAAGACCTTGTGCATTGGTATAAAAGCAGATGACGGCATCGATGGTCAGAAGCGTGTTTGTGTATGCTGGTTTCCGGTGAGGGTCTATGCCGACCCTTGTGGAGTCGGCCGCCGGTCGTTTTTTGTATGACCGCTGACGCGGGCCCTAGGGCCAGTTCACTTTGTTGTATAGAGCTCTCTGAGCAAACAAGCGGGTGACCATCCTGCCCTCCTTCAGCTGCCGGTGTGCTTTGGTATTGTTTCCGTTCTGAGCTACACGGTGCAAGAATTGTATTGGTAAGTTGTTGACTCAGTGTTACATTCTCTATCTGTGTTCTCTGCCTATTGCCTTTATACGTATTTCTGATGGCAGCATTTTAGGGTTTTTGTGCCCCATGTTGATCACATGTTCTACCAGAAGTTCGGAGTGCAATGATAATTTTATCACTGGGGGACCACACCCTTTGTAGTTAGGTGATAGCGCTAACCTTGATGTCGAATTTGCGATAACGTTTTCGATAGAGAGTACTCCACGAATAAAACGCCGTTCATCCCAGTCATGCGCTTTGAACCCTAGCTCGCTTAATGACTGGAGCTCGGGGATAGATTTTGTGTCTTGTTGTTTGCGGAAGTCATCCGGATTATTTTGCTTTTCTGGCCTTCGCTCCAAGGATTATCTGGAAATATTCGAACAGTGCGTGCAGTGGTACGGAGGCGAGTGGTTGACAAGAGAACTGCCTCTGCATCATTAGCTGACTGAAGTATTACCTGGAGTAACCGCGGGTCATCATAGTGTACGGAGTTTGCGTGACGGACGAGACGCATCATATTGACTGGTTTATCTTGAGCCCCTAGTAGTTGACACAGCGAGTCCCACTGTGTTTTGTCGTCTAGCATCTTATCTTTCATGGAGTTAGCCCCGGATTCAGTCACATTAGAACATATAACATCAACGAATTATGGTAGTGTTTCATGTTCCCCTTTTTGGAGGGACCAGTGGCTGCTTTCTTCGGTTGGACAAGTGATGGGGTCTTGAGTCCCGTAGTGATATTGGCAGTAGTAACTCGTTTGGCAGCGGGTGGGGTTGTAATGGGAGGTGCCTCCGTCATATGGGTGGCAACAACAGACGCCTAGGTTGTCGGCCCTATAACCGTGTTTAGTGTGGCGGGGTATTCTGTTGAGGAATGTGTGGCGAAGGCATCTCTATGAGGAGACGCTAGTGTCGCAGTGGCTAACTCTGGATCGTTACTCTTACACTTCTGATACTTAGTCAAAACACTCCGCTAAGAGATCATCAGTTTAAGCTGGTCACGCAGTACAGCCGACTGAAATGTCCACGAAACTTTTTCTCCCTTCGTGTGTCACAGCCTAGGAACGCACTCCCGGAACATGTAATTAATGCTCCCACCCTATCCCTTTTCAAAAATCGCCTCGACGATACTCTGTCACATTTACCCTACGTGCTATAGCCCATGACCATCAGATGCTGATACTAATGCACAACAGACAGTAGACAGTGCCATAACCCTACTCGAGAATTAGTCACTCCAAACCTGTTGCACACAATTTGATAAAAGCTACCACTGTATAAACTGGATTTCTGTATCCGGTCGATCCGAGATAGCTGCACATGAGTAAGCTCTGTCCTTGCTATTTATTATTTTTGTCTCGCTTATTACGTGATCTATAACCACTCCCCTTATTGCTTTATGTGCGCATATGCTAATTTCAAACTTCATTTATACGGCAGCGCAGTTAAATCTGTAATCACCCGAACCGACAATTCGAGTATCACTTGATCTATCTTTTCTCACTCTAACCACCCTACGGGACATGTCAAGCACCTGCTAGTTTACCCGTTATAAATCATTGTTCATTGGTCCAGCAGTGTGGGTCACCAAGGCTACGGTGGCTTGTGATTCCCGAGGGGACAGCCATGATCCACACAGATGTTCAAACGGTGTGATTTCACCGCTGGGTTACGAACATCAGTGTCCAAATAGCTCGAAAAATTTGCAACGACTGGCATTGACAGAGGTTTAACAATATTACGTTCAATGGAACAGACACATTAGTGCATTTAGTTCTTGGATTGCCTGCCAGATTGATGACCGTGATCATAGGACGAAGTTGCTAGTTAGGGTATGGAATCATAGTTGAGATCGAGGACACAGGGATTTGAGTACAAAAGCTCACAGGGTATGGCATCATAATTTTAGGTTACACAGAGCACAGGGTTCAAAGGGAATTTAGTCATTCCAATTCGTTCTGTGGCTCTAAACTCAAAATAAGCCGGGTGGCCAGGACAAATCGGCCAACGCTTTGTATGTACTCAGTCAGAAGTGGAACTAATTTATCACGGAAACATGTATTTGTTGTGGTCAGTCGTTGGACAGATGAACAGTGTGACCGATCAGGTAGGAGTGGATCAATTGTAGCAATTTATTTCATCGGACAAAGTCGTCCGTCTGCCACAGTTGTATTTTCCATTGGATAGCCGTGTGATCTCATTAAGGTATCTTTCATCAGTATCATCTTAAAAGAGTACTAAAACAGTAATACAATCTAATGCACATTTGCAGATGCATACTATTGGAACGAAATTTATGAAGGTAGGCGACAAGCGCTCTTTCCATTAGCCATCCGTATGTGTGATGCTCACCATCAGCTAAGTTGAATAGCTTTGTGTTATGATGCGTTTCCAATTCCAAGATGATCGTACACCGAAAATCTTTAGTTTCCATTGCTAATATTTTAGTGAGTTCATATTCTAACAAATCATCGATTCTGTAGCTGTGACTCCCCTCACGAGAAATATGCGCTCCAGGTTTGTCGTCCCTGCGCAAGCGTGACGTCGATGCACTTGAAGATCCTCAACACAGAGCGACCAAACTCGTTAGAGGATTGTCTCATCACTCCTACCAACGCAAACTGAAGTCCCTGAGATTGCACAGTGTTGAATATCGACGTCAGCCAGGAGACCTAACCATGGTTTACTTAATATTGACGAACCCAACTCACCCACGTCGCAATCTGTTGCAGCTGAACCGAAATGCCAAACTGAGAGGTCATCAGCTTAAACTGGCTACGCACTACAGTAGACTTGATTGTCGACGAAACGTTTTCTCCCTCCGTGTGTCCCGTGTCTGGAAAGCCTTTCCGACTCACGTTATCCTTGCCCCTACATTAACGCTTTTCAAAAAATGCGCTTTCAAACTAGCATTACTTCATATAGATCTTTTCACTTGGAGGACGAAAAGCACATACATAACCATGTGCTTAACGGCCCTCCCCGAAACGTGGCAGAGAGGATACACGCAGAATTGTCCATGTGCTTAGCTTGAATGTAGCTAAACTGGATTAACATACCACATCTGTCAAATGAAGAAAACACCGGTGAGCTTTTGTTTCCTTTTTTATTTCGCGCGCACTTACTGAACTTTAGCTGGTCTCCATAATATTTTGCGTCTGCACATCCCATTCTCACTCCAAACTATCGTTATGCAGTAGTGCATTTAACTTGGTGGACGCATGAAATAACCAGTTACTTATTCGATGATCCTTTCAATTTTAATTTTTACTCCATGCAACCTAAGGGACTTGTCATGCACATGCTATTTATCGGTGATAAATCTGTTCATTTATCATCGCTCATCCATGACTACACTTTCTGTTCCCCAATTTAGCACATCGTCCGTACAAATGTGAACAGTGCAGCAAATATTTTACACTGAGGTGTAAATTGCGACGACATTGCAAATCTGTTCATTCAAGTGAGTGTTTAACTGACGGTGTCACTTAACTTAATTGTATCACGCGTTGCACCATCTTATAGGGGGTCACGTGGCTTCAGCTTGATCTTGTTTTATTCTTCTCACGATCCGAAATCATGTAATTCTGTAGACTGGTCCATATTTCTAGTCCGCCCCTGCATAGACTTTAGGTGCAAAAGTCAAACAGATCTCGCAACGGAAAACGTACCATTATACTTGTTATAACAATAATTATTACTACTTCATGACAAATATTTCCTCTAATATTATTGCTTGCTCCTTTGTTGTAGAAGTTGGACACTCAGCTTCGATTGATAACAGAGTTGCACAAGTGGAATTGAAACAGGAGACATGTACAGGTCTCCTCATGATGTCGCGGTAGTCTGCGATAAATGAGGTGTTTTTGGAACGCTGTTCATCAGTACTTAAGTCTCCCAATGTGTATGGACACATGCTGCAACCAGACGTTGACCGACGTTTGGCTGTTTACAGGCGGACAGAGAGTACTTGAGTCGAGGAGTGTAGCTGCAGTTAGCTTGGAAATTACCCTCTTTGTACTTGACTTCCAATGCAAATATTGTTAATAGTTTTAATACATGATTACTTTTGTAACTAATTTTAACTTTTGAGTATCTGTAACACACTTTGAGTTGTCTCTGCCGATGTGTTTGTCAAGATTCCCTAATGTGCGCTAATGAGCTACAGGTGAAAGGCTTATGCTTGAAAAATCCCCTAGAATGGTCAGGTTGCAGCACGCAAGTTCAGTGAAAAACATTGGCAACAAGTTATACTGCACATAGGACAGCCACAAGACGCCTGCGTCCGGTGATTGACCATGGATGACTTGCGCCACAAAATCCACAGCTTCATTCCCACAATCCATAGACTCGAAGGAATAAGACCAGGAGGCATGTGATTGGGAGCCATATCTAATCAACGTAGCCGACTTACACTCCTTCAAGATGCACAGTAGCAACATTCCAGACAGTTTAATTGGGTGATCATGTGCACTATGCTACACAAGGCGGTGGCTGAGCAGTAGTCCACTCCACACTGGATGCATGGAACCAATCTTTGTGCCTAGCAAGGTCACGAGGACCGTGCACCCCGTCCCATCCAGCAACATTTAACAGTCACATGAAGCCAGTATATTACAAGGTGGAGCGTGCTAGACAAGTATGTACCTTGTCAACTTTCACGTCAAGCGCAACCAGCTATGGACGCTGGCCCCTGCGTTTCATCAGCCGAATTTCTTTTCCGCATGCAGTAGTGATTTCTCATGCAGCTGGGCAACTTCCCTCTTGATATGCTCTCCTCTGCCTCGCCAATCCACTGCTGTCGCCTCCCAATAGCTGAAATCAACATTAGTTCGTTATATACTCATATTCGTCACGTCCTGGTAACGGAACTTTGGTTTTCCAACCTACCGCTTCTCTGCACGCAGTTGGCCCTAAAGCAGCTTCTTCGATATCCGTGTTGAATTCAAGCGGAGAACGTACCGGAGCCACTTCAGGTGCCTCAGGATAAATATGCAGTCCACTGCGTCGGAGCATCACTGGGTCCACAAGTCGGTCACCCCAGCCGATATGCATAATGCGACGCAGGCGCCATTATTGGAATCGCTCGATAACGGACACCCTCCCCATAAAACGTCTATACCTTTTCTCAGCCAAATGAGTCCATAGTGGTTCACAATAAAGAGCGTACTATGGCTCGCTGTGCGGAACACTTGAAGACCACTTCATTTGGCCACCTAGTCCTGGACCTCTTCCTACTCATGTGATACAGACTGAGCCATGCACAGTTAGATTAGAGTCTTCGTCGGACGCCGAGGTCCGAAACGCGATCGCAGCCCTCAATTGTTTTCGTGCCTCTGGCCCGGATTCCATCCCATCCGCACTATTTATAGTTGGAGATGAGGTCATCTGCAACGTACTGATCTCCCTATTCGAACATGTGTGGAAGGAATATGCTGCCCCAGCTAACTTGAGTGAAGCAATTATAATGGCAATATACAAGTGGGGCAGTCGCACAGACTGAACAAACCACAGCGGTGTTTGCTTAACGCCAGTTGTGACAAAATTACTTGCCTCAATCCTCCTTCGTCGCCTCACTGTGGAACGGGCATCAGAGATTAGGCAAAGCAGGCAGGTTGCAGCTTTAAACAGGGCTGTTTAAACCACATATTCACTTTGCGACAGGTACTAGAGCAAAAACACGCATACCGTAGGCGGACGATAACTGTGTTCCTCGATTTCAAGAGTGTATTTGACTCGGTCGATCGATGCAGGTTTTTCGTAACACTTGCACAGAAAGGTTTTCCAATAAAATATGTAAAGAGTTAACATGTTCTGTACTCGAAAACTACAGGCTGCGTCGGAGTCTACAGCGATTTATCAGATGGCTTTGCGACAACAATTGGCGTTTGTCAGAATTATTGAATTTCCCCATTTTGTTCAAATACGTCGTGGACTCCATCATGGAGTGTCACCTAGCGGATTCTTTACGATGCAGGTGTCGACGTCCTGCCTGGTGAAAGCCAAGTTGATCTATACTATGCGGAAGATATCGTCTTATTGTTTAACTATGTTGGGACGGCCAACTCAACCATAAATAACATCTATAGAATGGTCCCATAATTTCGAATGCGCCTCGTACCTACCAAGTGCAGAGCGTTGCTGCAGGACCACCAACCACTTGATGACCTTTGAGCCTAGATAGGGACAAAATCGAGGTAGTTGATCGATTCACTTACATTTGCAGCTGCATCAGCAACGATGGGCGTATAGCTAGGGAGGTCAGTACAGGTATCACAAAAGTCAGAACTGCATCTTTGTACCTGCGACATTTTGGCAACAGAAAGGAGTTTCCCTCTGTTTGGATGGTCATCC